TATCAATTTCTTTATTGACGAATCGAATGTGAGATCACCTTATTCAACATTATTCCACACAAACTAGAGTTCAAAACGTAAAGTTTTTGAAAACTAAATTCACGTAACTTACTCAATGTTTGTTGTTGTTGTTGTTGTGTATCGTTTCAAGTGAAAGACAATGTGAATCCCTTGTAATTGTTTGAAATAGCAGTGAATTGCTGTTTATTTTTGTCACAATTAAGACAAATTGTTTTTCCCTGGAGAGGCAGGCGTTCGACAGATTCGCGAAAACACTTAAAAACTACAATTGAATTACAATTTCAGTAAATGTATTTAAAGTACTGACAACAATAGAGTGGGTGAGGTGATCTTAAGCAATTAAAGTAAAAATGAAGTCAGTCAGTGTAATCAATGAAATATTTGTGACACGAAAAACAATGAGCCTATTGAAGTTAATAATATTATACTGAATTGGACTGAATTCACGGTATGAGCGATACGAGAATTCGTCCACATACGTTTTAAATGATTATACTTGTAAGCCGTGTGGCGGCTATCGGCAGCCTAGATTGAGCATTTTTTCGTATTGATTTATGAATCGATTAGTTGACGGTGAAAACTGTACCTGTAAAGGTACCGTTGTAATCTGATCAACTATTTATCCGTATGATTGTCCCTCGTTGCACACATACTTTGTAATGATGTGGTAGTGGAGTGGAAGTTTTCCGCTTGCGAACGAACATATCGATAATGATGTTTTTGGTTACGTTCTATCCTATATGCCGAACACGTACTAGCAAGTTTAAACAAACTACCACCACTTACTCAATCTACTTTAGTACCTTGCACTACTCTCACCACTGTACACTGTACTGCTTTAAGGATTACATCTGATAAAGCAGGAGCAGTGGTAACCGGCTGCTGTAAGAATTCAATCAGTCGCTAGGATCTGACGATCTGCTGAAGTTTTGGTTTTTCGATTAAACCAGAAAGGTACTGTTCTCGAACAAGCTTATTCAACTTGCATGTATTGCAGCGTAATATCGCTTCGTCCCCCTTATCTCTGTACCTTAAGTGCTTTTTAGTTGGTATGCACAATCACATAAACTGATATCCTTTTGGATGATTTAATGCGCTTCACTGTTATGCCATCACTAAAATAAATCGAACGATGTTATTCAATGAACACATGCTTGCTTCAATTATACGCCATGAATTAGAAGAAGCCACTAACCGAAAGTTGTTTAGTTCATCGTCATCATTCGAATTTATTACTTATTACTCTGATTTAATGATAAACTTTATTTGCATTACGGGGTTGTTGTGAAGATTGTTAAGTTTTTTATTCGAAACCAAGAATCGATCAATGTTAGACCACCATTAGAAACCCGGGTGTCGACAATAACTACCGATACTGTGTATGAGGTCGCGCAACTCCGTGAATTGATCAGCTCATCGTCATCATTCGATTTGTTACTCATTACTCTGATGTAATGGTGAACTTTATCTCCGAATAAGTGTACAAACAAATATGTACTATGTTTCAGTTAAGTCTATTTAACTGAATTAATTCATAACTCATTCACACTTTGTATATATTATACTATGTGGTTACTACTACTGGCTATATTCTACAATCGGATTATAAACAAATGATCTAAAATATAGTTGTTTTCACTGAAGTTTCCAGTTCACTTATTTATTATCTAAAGGTCTATTTTCAAATGCACAATTATACTTTTTTTTTACCAACTAATCTACCAAGTACTGATATATGTATATGGATTCTAGCTAGCTTGCTACATTGTTTCGACGAAACCCATTGGATATTGAAAGTGAACCAGTTGTTAGGCGCAACATTTGAAGGAGAGCGAAATAGCTTATTAGTAAAACAGTTTGTACACTTCAATTTTGATCATCAAATCATACTGATTTAAAATGCACACTGTACAGTACTAGTATAGTACTTCAATTTCATCAACCAACTAGATAATATTCTAAGATTACTATTTCTCATTCCGTTAAAGTATCCACCTAAAAATCTTGAGCATACACATCTACATCTGTATTTGCTGTGAACAACGTACATCAATTTCGATTATTTTGAGAAAACTGTTATAATGTTCAACTTTTTAATCAAACTATTCACTCTTTGATTATGAAAATTAATATGGAAAAACAATTCTATCATTATCATTGTGTATAGTATAGAGCAATTGTGATAGAGACACTCTTAACTAACCCACATCTTACCCTGAATTAGCATTGAACATTATCTGCTGTAGAATGTAGATTGTTTTACAGGCCTGTTTCTTGTTTTTTCGATTTATTTTCTACGAATAACTGTTCTTCTTGTTGTTTTTAATTTCTTTCTACAAAAAATCATAATTCATTATGATTTGACCAAAAAAACAATACCCCCCCCCACACACACACACACAACAGTTGGATCAAGCACCGATAAAAGAGAAGAAACCGTATTATTGTTCACTTTGTAACGCGAATTTATGTGGTGTGGACACTTTGGAGAATCATTTACACAGTGTTAGTCACCAAGAACAATATAAATCACGTGTTGATCCACAATGGACTATTCAAAAAGCAGTTGCATCATCTTTGTCATTTGAAGATGCGATTTTCGATATGTGGAAAGCTTGTAAAGATAAACACAAAAGAGTTAGTGAATTATTGTTTGTTGGTGTGTTTGTTTAAAAATGTTGAAGAGAATAATTTTTTTGTATTTCATATATATAAACCTAATATTCGATAATGAATGCTGTTGAAGCATGTTTACTTATTATTGACACCTGTTACCCTTCATTGGAGCATAGGCCACTGACCAGCAGCATTCTTCAACCTACTCTTTCGTGGGCATTGTTTTGCAGTTCTATCCAATCGCCGTTCAGTCTGTTCATGTTTGCCTCCGGTTCTCGGAGTAATGTGTTCTGTGGTCTTTTTATTTTCCTTGTGACTTTTGAAAAAACTCCATTGCCATCACGAGGCTTCATAACTCTTCTATAAATGGAAGAGCTTACTGCCAGGACATAGTTTGAATGATTTGAATTATTTGTTCTGGTTAAGGTTTTTCCTACAGGATGGGGTTGTTAACTCCATGCCCAACTCTCTTCCTTTATGCGCAACATGAACTGATGTACTTACGTACGACGTTTTACGTTATTACTGACTGACTTACTCCTCGTTTATGCGGGTTTTTGACCGACAGTAACCTGAGTAGGACGTCTGGCGTTGCTGAAGATTATCAAGTTAAAGATTGTGAGGTTAGCTGCAGGGTGTACCCTGGTAAGGATAGCGAATCTACTAATGAGTCTTTATTAACTGACGTGATAAAAATGTGTATTACATGTTGCCATTTGATAGTCGACCTCGGTTCATAGTGATGGCTTGTGTAGAGGATTATGTTGGAAGAATGTTTAGGACGACTGTACTTAGGTATGTAGGTAGGTGCAGACTACCTGATTCGGGTGTGAGTGGTTATTGTAACCAATTTGCAGAGACTAGTTTACATTGGCTGTAAATCGTTTACAACAGTTCAGGCATATCCATAAATAATCTTTCCTTTCTAAATTCCCCACAAAGTTTTCACAATTATTTCAAATAATTTGTATATCTTGTATGCCTTATCGTTTCAATTATCACTTATACTATAACTATTTCTACTACTTTAGAATTTTTCCAGCCAATTCAGCTTTAAAAACATGCCATATTCTTTCTACATTTCTGATAAATTGACTGAATAATGATAATATTATTATTGTCCCATGTAAACTCATGTAAATGTAAATAATTCTCTGAGTTCCGATGAGAAACCGTCATCATAATCATTAGTGACGAAGATTACTTACTCACTGATGACTTGGTTCTATCTCCGAGAAACTTGTGGATATGCGCTTCTGTAAGTAATTCTCACACTAGAAAGAAACAACCTACTAGTGGTTGCTGATTTTTTTTTCAACGGTTATCTAACTAGGATGCGTACACACAATGCAAGCTACAAAATTACCCGCCCCCGCTTCCTAATAATACAGCAGATAATAGGCCTTGTTGATAATTGCAAATGTGAATGAATAAAGAAAAGCTTTCCTGGTAATTATTACATTCACATATTGAAAACAATGAATAAAGTGTTCTCTCTTATATTTTTTTTAATTCTGCCTATGATTGTTCACCACCCTACTATTAAATATTGTTTGCTGTTTATTTTTAGGACATGCGAATTGTTGAACGAAATAATATTACATTACAGTGTGTATGCTCTTATGAAATAAAAACTTTCACTGAATTTAAACAACACTATCCGAAAATATTTCCACAAAATGTTCTTTTCGAAGATTCGGAAATGTTTGCTGCAG